CCCTTGCCTGTTTTTAAATTCGGTTATTTGCCTTTTTATTATTGAGTTGTAGGACTTCTTATATAATGCTAGATACATGTTTCTTATCATAGATGATTTGCAAAACTTTTCTCTTATTCTTTTCACTTTAAATACAGTCAATCAAAAAAATTATATCTGAAATCCTGCTGAACTTACTTATTAGTTCTAGAAGGTTTGGGGGGATAGATTTCTTGGGATTTTCTATGTAAACCATCATGTCATTTGCAGATAGGTACACTTTTACTTCTTCTTTTCTGTATGAATTTTATTTCCTTTTTTTGCCTTCTTGTAGTAGCTAGAACTTCCATTACGATGTTGAATAAGAGTGGTAACAATGGACATCCTTGCCTTGTTCCCAATGATAGGGTGAATGCATTATGCATTTGGTTTTATATCATTGAATGTAATGTCTGCTGTAGGTTTTTTATAGATACTCATTATCTAGTTGAGGAAGTTCCTCTTTATTTCTGTTTTTTCTGAGAGTTTTTCTTAGGAATAGGTAATGAATTTTATCAGATGATTTTTCTGTATTGATTGCTATGATCATATGATGTTTTTTCCTTAGCTTGTTAATATTATGGATTATATTGATTGATTCTTCAATATTAGACCAGCCTTGCATTCTTGGACTAAATTCAACTTTTTATATATTGTTGAATTCTTTTGCTAATACTTTGTTAAGGATTTTTGTGTCTATATTCTAGTATTGATCTTTAGTTTTATTCTTTTTTTTTTCTCTCTCTCTCTCTCTTTTTTTTTTTTACACAACATGAACTTTTAAATTTTTATTTTTTTATGCTGTCTTTTTCTGGTTTTTGCATCACAGTATTATTAACTTCATAAAATGATTTGGAAAGTGCTCCCTACTCTTTTGTTTTCTGGACGAGATTGTGTAGAATTGGTGTTAATTCTTTAAACATTTGGTAGAATTCTCTAATGAAATGATCTGGGCCAGATTTGTTTTTCAGAAGGTTTTAAATGTGAGTTTAATTTGTTTAATAGTTACAGGGCTATTCAAATTATTCATTTAATTTTGAATGAGTTGTGTAAGTCTGTGCTTTTGAAGAATCGATCCATTTACACATAAAGCAGGCCTCCTCATTACAGCTGGGCAGGGCTGGGAGTTTCAGCTCCTTTCTAGGCCTCAACTGACACGACTGGGGTTGGGGTTGTGAGGTGAAAGTCCTGACTCCCTACCAGGCCTCCTCTAATACCACCCCAGTGGGTGTCTCATTACTGCTGGGTGGGAGTGGGAATCTGGGCTCTCCAGGTGGTCTCCTCAGGCACTACCTGGCAGGGGAAGGGGGTCTTATTACCACCTGGCAGGGAAGGAAGTCGGACCTCTGGTATCACCCTTGCCAGTGCAGGGGCTGGGGGACATCTGGGAGGCAGGTTGGGGCAAACCTTACAGCTTGGTGAGGGTGGAAATTTAGTCTCCCCACTTGGCCTTTGCTGTCATGTGTGGAAGCAGGCCAGAGTTTTTCCTGTGGTGTTGGCTGGAGTGCAGGTTATTGTCTAAAAGTTTTCTGCCTCACTATGCTGCTCTTTTCTTTGTTCATTAAGCAGGGGCTTTTTTTTTTTTTCCTTATTTTGTCTTCCTCCATTGGCATTTCTGCATTCCTGGCTTTTTTAGCTCATCATCTGTGGTATGAGGCAAAAATGAAACCTGGGGAACTCACCACTGTGTTGTTCGATGGGCTCCTAGGTCCCTAGCTGGTCTACCTTCTTATCTTCACCTTCAGAGTCTTCTTAAGTTTGTTTTATATGTGATGCCCAGGGCTTTTAGTTGTATAAAGTGGGGGCAGTTAGGAAAAAGTACATCTACTTGATCTTGCTAGAGGTGGAAGTTGGACTAGGATTGCTTTTTAATGGAATAAAACAGACAGAAATTAAGATGCATGAATTGTCCAGAAAGACACACTTAAGTTAGTTTTGGGTTCGTTACTTGGAAGTGACAACTATTTCTTAATTTCTTCAGAGATTATTTTTTATGTCTTTGTTCAGTAGAACCAAACCTTCTTTAGTTTTAGATCTCATAAGAAGCTTGACAATTCAGTGAATTAATTTATTTCTGCATTTAGATATAAATTCATAATAAATCTAAACTTCTGGTTTAGTATGTGGCAGAGAAAAATTTCTCTTTGTGAAAGATTAGTTTTATGGAGGGCAGTAACTTAGTTTTTTTTAGTGGTTGTCAGGATCTTGAAGCTGTGGATCCTTATCAAAAAGAAGAAGAATGAGGCATAGTGGTTAAGATCTATGTAAGAAAACTTTTGAGTCTGAAATGTTCCAAAAAGATTGCTGGGTGTTTTTGGTGGAATAGTATCTAGAGCACTTTTCCTGGTTATCTAATTCTATGGGGTTTATAGCTTTCATTGGTTTTATTTTATGATTTTGTAAGTTGTGAATAATAGACAGTAATACAAATTATTCTTGTCCTTAAATATGCAAAGGAATTTTGTTGATTGGAAGTACAGTTGAAATATGGTTGATTTCTTTCCTCTTTTGTGAAAGAAGCTGGTTTTGTTTCTCTTAAGCAAATTCATTTCAATATTCCCCATTGGGTATATAAGTGTCTGCTCTTTGGATTCTCTTCTCAACCAGTTGGAACATATTTGTTCCCTAATGAATTAAGGAATTAATTAAAGTCATAGACATATGTTGATTTTGTATCTGTATGAGAGACACAATGTTATCTTTTTTGTTTTAGTTATCTTTAACAGCTTGAATTCTAAATTTAGCTTGACTAGGCTTCACTTACAGCTGTAACACTTAACTCTTGTTGTGATTTGGCCAGGGAATTGTAATTTTTAACCTGTTTACTACTATAAAAAGAGGTTATCATGCTGTTTTCTTTCCATGGTTATTGTGAGAATTAAAAGCGATGTTACAAGTTACACACTTCTCATAGTTCCTCATATATCATAAGAACTCTATGGTTTATTTATTTATTTATTTTTTAATTTATTAAAAGCATCATCCTTGCATAGGGGCCATGCTAGTCTTCTCTGTATGGTTCCAATTTTAGTATATGTGCTGCTGAAGCAAGCGCTTTGTTTTATTTTTAATTAGAAGGCTGTGGGCAACTAATTTTACCTTCCTGAAACTTAGTTTCTTTATCTGTTAAAAAAAAATGACATGGAATTGTCACTTAGTTGTTAGGTCGTAAATTTCATTAGCAATAATTGTAAAGAGTGGAATGAAGTAACTGACAATAGTTGCTTTTGGAGGGGATGGCATTTTTAATATGCAGTGACCTTGCTGCTCTGAGAAAGGAAAATGTAGAGTTTGATCTAGTAAGCCATTCATTAGAACAGCAGCGTGGTCATTCAATTCAGTAAACAGTGATTGAGAAGACCCTGCTCTGCCTGGCTTTGTACTAGAAAGAAGCATTAGGGTTGGAAATGTGGCTTAACAGGGTAAGAGAATTTTTATTATCTTTCTGCTTTCTCTTTCTTTTTTTCCTTTTTGAGACAGAGTCTCCCTCTTTCCCAGGCTAGAGTGCCATAGTGTCAGCCTAGCTCACAGTAACCTCAAACTCCTGGGCTCAAACGATCCTTCTGCCTCAGCCTCCCAAGTAACTGGGACTACAGGTGTGTGCCACCATTCCTGGCCCATTTTTCTATTTTTAGTAGAGACGGGATTGTTACTCTTGCTCAGGCTGGTCTCCGAACTCCTGGGCTCAAGTGATCCTCCTGCCTTGGCCTCCCAGAGTGCTAGGATTACAGGCGTGAGCCACCATGCCCGGCCTATCTTTCTGCTTTAAAGCAATTTGGAGGGTAGGTTCTGTTAGATGGAAGGCTAAAACTGCCTTAAATATGGGAAGTAATATAAATAACTGTGAAGGACCTTGATAGATGTGGAGAGAGTAGGAACCAGAAAGGGCCAGATTTTGTTTAACCTAGAAATAACTGTTGGGGGTTTCAAGGGCAATTTTTGGGTGAGTTGGGAGGTGGGGGTGATCAAAGAAGAGGGAGACGGCTCAAGGTTATGTTATTTGAGTTGACCTTTTTCTCTGACCCTCAGTATTTTACAAATGTTTTACTTAAGGGGTAGCAGGTGAAAGCGGGTGGAAGTGGAGTAGAATTGGTGAAATGATTGAGTTAGAAGAGGGGATCCTTAGAGGCTGAGAGAATTTAAGTTTCCCAGGAATTAGCCTGGTCCAAGGGAAGATGTTGGCTTCCTGTGTGTTGTATAATTGGAGCAAATTGGGGGATGGTTTAAGCCAAGGACATTCCCAGCTACTGTTAAATTAGGATAATGAAAATAAGCATCAATGCAAAGTCCACTTTGTGAACCATAAAGAGCTTATGTATAAATAGATACCTACATTTATAACTGAGTAACATGCATTTTGATGTAAGGAAATTAAGTCCTACTGTAAACAAAAGCAACAGTCTGCTCAGTACAAATATGTTTTAAAGTTTTTTGCAAAATAAAATGGTCCTTATAATTTGGCATCACGATCCAGGGAGTGAGGAGAATGTGATCATGCCTGCGTTCTTTCTTTAGGAAGGTCTTTGGGTTCCTCTAGCCATCTTTGAAACTTGAATACACTGTGTGTTACAGACTGTGGGGAAAGGAACTGCTCTTTACCCATTTCTCTTTGGGTTGGATGTAGGCTCAGATTTTGTCCTTGCTGCTCATATTCTGACTTAGGGTGTTGCTATCAGGGAGAAGCAGAAGCTCCAAGGACCCGGCCAGTGTTAACATTTGAGTCTCCATCTCTCCCTGGAACCTGAGGGGTGGCACACATATTGGGCTCTCACTTCACTCTTCTGACATTCCTATTCTAAGCACTACAACCAGCGCAGTTCCCTGGCTTCCTGAGTTGCCTGTGAATTAATCCAGTCAGTACTGGAGTGTTTCAGTTCCCTGGGCCCATTATAACCTGTTAGTACCATGAACCATCTGACTAGTCCAGTGCACTGTTCTCAAACTCTGCTTTCTCTTTTTTCTCCCATTTGTCACCTTCACAGGCTGAAAGACAGAGTTGAGATTCTCTTCTGGGAAGCTGGCAACAAAAGGAGGATATGATATCTTGCGTTCCAGGGAAAAATAAATTGTGATGCTACTGAACCCATGGGCAATTAACAAGACAGTTTCTAGCTACTGAATGTGCTTTCTGAAATCAGGACTGTAAAAGCTTTGGGTAAGTCTGTGTAATGGTTTCCAAGTTTATGGTTTTTATCTTGCTTCATGTATCTGAACACAAAGCTTTTTAAATTGATCATAGTTGTTCCTGTTTATGTGGTGTTGTTGAAATGTTCTAATGCTTGCTCCATAACCTTTTCATTATAAAATAAACATTTATTTCTGTTGAAGAGATCTAAGTTTCCTGTTGATAGAAAATAAATTGGTATATTTCTATCAAAGAACAAAACCCAGCATTTCTGTTTGGCATTTGGTCATGTGATTCTTTTTGAATCTTTATGTTGCAAATTAGGCACCGTTTTGTTTAGAGTCTAGAATATTAAATGGAATGTGTTCTAGAGTTCAGTCTGTACATTTTCTGCTGCATGTAGTAACTGACTTTTATTTGACTCTAGTAGGTCACGTAGCAACTTACGTGACACCATTAGCTGGTATCCCCCTTTTGGAGCAGTGAGGGCTTGGGAGGTGGGAGCATTTATCTCTGTGAGTAACTCTGACAGCTGATTCTGGCCATGTCCTTTCCTGTCTCTAGGCTCATGATCTCCATCTGCCCAGTGTCCATCTGAAATTCCTGGCTGTTGCCTTCAGCTTTAATTTGGCCAGAACTGAATTCATTCTGAATCCCATATTTGATTTCCTTCCAGAATATGTCTGTTACTGTCTATTTGATTGTCCAGGCTTGAACCGTCATAGACAATTTTGACCCCTGTTCACCCCAAGCCTTTTTTCTATTGCTTCTTCTTTCTTAATGCTTTTGATTGTTTCCCCCTTATCTTTATACTTACATTATTTCAATAGTCTACTAGTTGGTTTCTAAAATAATAGCTTCTATTTATTGTGCATGTGATATAATAAAGAATATATTTGGTCTTTGTCCCTGGTTCCTGACGATGAGCTTCAAAAACCCTTGGAATTTCCTGAGTGATGGAAGTATCTTTTGTTATTCATAACAAAAGAGTCCCTTTGACCACACCTGAGTTTATGCTAATGAGGTGCCTGATGTGCCCTTAGATAGTTTCAAGGGAGAAGCTGTCTACATCAGACAGACCAAGATTAGAGGGTTGGGATTTTAGCTCTACCCCCAGTCTCTGGGGAGGGAGAGGAATTTGATAGCAAGCTCAATCACAGGGTCAGTGATTTAATTATACTTAGGTAATGAAACCCCATAGAAAAGCCCTAGAACAGTTGTGAACACATTGATGTGCTGCAAGAGTGACGCCTGGATTTCTTGGCGAGAGAGCATGGAAGCTTTGCATCCCTCTACTGTCTTCCCCGGACTTTGCCCTGTGTGTCTTTTCCATTTGACTTTACCTGAGTTTTATTCTTTATAACGAAACTGTGATTCAGGTTAGTGCTTCCAGTGATTTCTGTGAGTTGTAGAGAATTACTGCACCTGAAGGGAGGTTTTGGGAACCCCTGAATTTGTAGCCAAGTCAGACATTAGTGCAGATAGCCTGGGGATTTCTTTTTTTTTTTTTTGAGACAGAGTCTCACTCTTTTGCCTGGGCTAGAGTGCCGTGGCGTCAGCCTAGCTCACAGCAACCTCACACTCCTGGGCTCAAGTGATCCTACTGCCTCAGCCTCCCGAGTAGCTGGGACTACAGGCATGCGCCACCATGCCGGCTAATTTTTTCTATATATTTTTAGTTGTCCGATTAATTTCTTTCTATTTTTAGTAGAGACGGGGTCTCGCTCTTGCTCAGGCTGGTGTCGAACTCCTGAGCTCAAACAATCCGCCCACCTCGGCCTCCCAGAGAGCTAGGATTATAGGCGTGAGCCACCGTGCCCGGCCTAGCCTGGGGATTTCTGAGTAAGCACAGTCTTGTTTGGGACCTTGCTTTATAGCTTGTGGGATCTGATGCCAACTATAGATGGTGTCAGAACTAAACTGAATTGTAGGACACCAAATTGGTGTCAGAGCGCTTACCCTTTGTCAGGCATTATGGTGTGTGTGCTACATGCATTATTTCTTGTTACACGCACCAAGTGGGTTACGACCTGGTTTTCTCATTCTTGTTTTACCCATAGAGAAAAGTGCAGTTATAACTGCCCAGGGTCACAGAGCAAAGAAGTGATGAACTCAGTGTTTTCTGATTTTAAAGCCCTTTACTTAACCCTTTATGTTGAGCCAACTGCCTTTCTTTCTCTGGATGTTACTACCCTTCTCTAATCTGGCACTTGTGGACTAAGGACTGCTTTTTCTAAGTTAAACTTTTATCACATCATTTTTGAGCTCAGAAACTTCCAGTTACTATTACTGCAGAATAAAACCCATAATCCTTTTTTTTCCCTAAGGTTTTGCTGGGAGTTTGTGACTCTCCCAACAAATTGGGTCCCAGGCAGGAACGTCGCAAGAGATGGAAATAAAGGAGACAGAGACAAAGTATAGATAAAAGTGATGGGGAAATCAGGGGTTTTCCAGCATTCCCGTGAGCCAGGAGGGCACGAGTAGAGTCCCGCATCAATATTTATTCTTTCAGCAAACAATTATTATCAGTCACTGATTTACATGTACATATCATGAGTTTAAGTTTCAAGGTCTCCCAAAGTAACAGTAAACTAGCTAAGTATACACAAGTTAAAGATAAAATTGTGAGTCAGCAGTAAAGTGTATAATCTAAATGGGAACCAAGAGACTATGTACTTCTTTCTACTTTATCTAGTTACTCATTTACTGAGACATGAACTCAGGAGAGAGATAGGAACATTGCCTCAGGCTTAGAATAGCAAACTGCTCTTATCTGCTGGGCTGACATCCTTTGATCATTCTCTCCACCTTCAGATTACAAGCTTGAGTCCTGGGTCCATTTGCAGACATCCAGGCTGTGGCCCTCAGACTTTAAGGTGGGGTCCGTTTGCAGACATCCCTGATTGGTGGAATGTCCCCCTCAAGGTCGAGCAGCTTTTGCTCAGTGAGCTGACATGTCCATGGGTTGCTCTTTGGCAAAGTCCTGTTCCACTCCTGGGGTTCTCAACCCTAACCCTCAACAAGGTTTTTTTTAATTTCAGAATATTACAGGGGTAGAAATGTTTTGATTACATGTTTTGCTTTTGTGCAGTATGAGTCAAAGTTGTAAGTGTGCTCATCACCAAGGTAGCTTGCATTGTACCTGTTAGGTGTAAATTTACCTGTCCCCTCCTCTGCCCTCCCACCTACTTGGTTTCTGTTGAGTTTTACTACCATATGTGTACACGGGTGTTGATTGATTAGTTCTAATTTAATAGTGAGTACATGTGGTGTTTGTTTTTTCATTCTTCTAATGCTTCACTTAGAAGAATGGTCTCTAGTTCCATCCAGGTTGTTACAAAAGGTATTAGTTCACCATTTTTTATGGTTGTATAGTATTCCATAGTAGACATATACCACATTTTATTAATCCACTCATGTGTTGATGGGCACTTAGGTTGATTACACATCTTTGTGATTGTGAATTGTGCTGCACTAAACATTCAAGTGCACATGTCTTTTTGATAGAATAACTTTTTTTCCTTTGGGTAGATACCTAATACTGGGATTGTTAGATCAAATGGTAGGTCTACTTTTAGTTCTTTGAGGGATCTCCATACGGTTTTCCATAGAGGTTGTACTGGTTTACAGTCCCACCAGCAGTGTGTGAGTGTTCCTATCTCTCTGCATCCATGCCACCATGTTGTTTTGGGACTTTTTGATACAAGCCATTCTCACTATGGTTAGATGATATCTCATTGTGGTTTTGATTTGCATTTCCCTGATGATTAGAGACTTTGAGCATTTTTTTCATATGTTTATTGGCCATTGTCTATCTTCTTTTGAAAAGGTTCTGTTCATGTCTTTTGCCCACTTTTTTATGGGGTTGTTTGATATTTTTCTTGCAGATTTGTTCGAGTTCTTTGTAGATTCTGGTTATTAGCCCTTTATTGGATATATAGCATGCAAATATTTTCTCCCATTCTGTAGGTTGTCTATTCACTCTGTTGATTGTTTCCTTGGCTGTACAGAAGCTTTTTAATTTAATCAAGTCCCATTTGTTAATTTTTGTTGTTGCTGTGATTGCCTTTGGAGTCTTCTTCATAAATTCTTTGTCTAGGCTGATATCTAGAAGAGCTTTTTCAACATTTTCATCTGGAATTCTTATAGTTTCATGTCTTAGGTTTAAGTGAGTTGATTTTCGTGAGTGGTGAGTGGCGGATCCTGTTTTACATGTCGCTATCCAATTTTCCTAGCACCTTTGATTGAATAGGGATTCTTTTCCCCAGTGTGTGTTTTTGTCTGCTTTGTCAAAGATCAGATGGCAGTATTAGGGTGGTTTTATATCCAGGTTCTCTGTTCTGATCCATAGATCTATGCCTCTGTTTTTGTACCAATACCATGCTGTTTTGGTTACTATAGCCTTGTAGTATAGTTTGAAGTCTTTTAAAGTGATGCTTCCCGATTCATTCTTATTGCTTAAGGTTGTTTTGGTTATTTGGGGTCTTTTCTCATTCTGTATGAAGCATAGAACCATTTTTCCTAGATCTGTGAAAAATGATGTTGTTATTTTAATGGGGATTGTATTGATTCTATAGATTACTTTGGGTAATAAAGACATTTTAACAATGTCGATTCTGCCAATCCATGAGCATGATATGTTTTTCCATCTGCTTAAGTCCTCTGCAATTTCCTTCTTCAGTGTTTCATTTCATAGTTCTCCCTGTAGAGGTCTTTTACCTCCTTAGTAAAATATATTCGTAAGTATTTTATTTTCTTTGTTGTTATTGTGATAGGTATTGAGTCAAACGCATGCTCCTTAGGCAGCCATTTAAGGTCCACCAGAGTCCAACAGGCTTAAATTAATACTGCTGTCCCAGTCTTTATATAGTACAAAGAAAACAAACTCCTACTGTGTTTCTTGGATGGGCCACTCAATCTGTATCTCCAGTGAATTGCATTGGAGAGGGAACTGTCTTTTTGTTACATGTAAAGTATAACCGGAAAGTCAGAATTTATGAAAAGAATGTTATTATAAAAATAGCAAATGC